AGAGAGAGAGAGAGAGAGAGAGAGAGAGAGAGAGAGCTCTGTCTGCCGCTCTGATTGATTTCTTCCAATAGATCGGGACACATACAGTGATCTGTGCCAAGAGCCACGGGGAAGGGTAAACAAAAGACAGTCCTAAAAACGTTGTCTCTATTTATTTACTGGTATGTGCTTCGCTGAACCCCGCTACGTTCTGTCAGGTAGATCTTGAACAAGAATCTACCAAATCAATAATAATAATATTACGTACTGTTTTCTTCAGAGAGCTTTGTAATAGGAATTACTTCTGCATGTACCAAGCCCACAACCTATCCCTTCATCTGGGAAACTCCGGAGGGTTGGGTGGAAACGGGGAGGGGGGGGGGTAGCAAGATTGAATATATGCACAAACACCAACCTCTTCTGAGCTTCTCAAAGAGTAAATATATTAATATAATTCTAAATCACTTTAAATTTATACAAATGACGGTGCCGCGTTCATCGCTGAACGACAGACACTTCAAAAGCTGAAGAGAGACTGAAGACTCGAGACGACCTTTCGGGTTTACCAAATGGATATTTTTAAAAAACCTTTACACCAATTACTTTTCCTATGCCTTCAGGTGAACGCAAAACAGGGTCCGAGATATTGATTTGTAATTAATTAAAGAAAATCGACAGATCGGGCATTTCGGGCTCTTCATAAAAAAAAACCCCAAGCACTTGACTTTTGGACAGACACGTCACTCGAGCGCTTGCTCCACAGATAATAGGGCCCGCGAGGCACTGGGTGCCAATCTTCCAAGTGAACGGCAAGAAGGTACACACGACGGGTTGAGTTTCTGTGCATGAAGGGAAAGGACGCGCACATGAATTATTAAAAAAGAAGATAAACTCCAGACAGACTGTAATACACCTGACCCATTCAAAAAAAATTGAGAACATTGAGGAAAATTGAGTTGTTCAAAAATGATATTATGAATTTGGCAGCGAAGGCTGTGTGCGAACTTGAAAGGAAGTGTGCTGACATTCGTGTCAGGGAAGATCCCAAAAAGCCCAAAGAGCATCATGGAGTCGGCGCCTTCACATGCCGAAGTAATGTTGTTAAACTGCTGTCCCATGGA